ATTTTAGAGCATAATTAATCCTGCTGAAGCTGCATAAGATAAGTGAAATATTTATGCAGCTGTGTTAATTCATGTATTTACTCCTAGAGAGACATTTAGAATTGGACATGGCTTTCCGGGAAGATTATCTTAAGACGCCCCCTGGAGCAACGTCATTTTCTCTCCCATGTCTTTGCTTCCAGATGGTTCTAAGGATGAAGTTGAAAAGACACATTTCCCAACCCCAGCAGTGTGACTGGGAAAGCAATCAGCCAGGACATAAAATATCTATAAGAACCTGATGCTCTGTAAGTCAGCATCTTGAAGATGCCACAGAGAAGATGGTTTCTGTTCAGCTCCACAACGTGTCCCCACCCCTTGGATGTAACTTGATTATATTATTTCTAGTATATTGTTACTGATCTGTACTGAACAGAGACTTGTAAGTGGATGATGATGATGATGATGATGATGATGGGAAAGAGAATGTTGAAGAGAAGGAAGATGGTGGTCATGATAACTATGGTGGTGATGAAAACGAAAGTGATGATCATGGTGATTATTTTTATGGTGATGACAAGAAACAAAGATCCATGATGCTGGTGTTTATGATTCTGATGTTGATAGTGGTGGTGATAATGGTGGCAATGGGAATGATTATGGTGGTAGTGGTGCTGATGGTGGTAATGATGATAATGATGAAGATGATGGTGAGGGCAATACTTAGGCTGGTGCTGATAGTGCTGATGCTGGTAGAGATGGTGGTAATGGAATAACACTATTGGTGATGCTGCTGCTGATGTGGTAGTGATAGTGGTGATGGAAATGATGGTGGTGGTGATAGTCATGAGGATGAAGGTGTTGGTGGTTATGATGCTGGTACTGATGCAATGGGAATGATGGTGATGGTGGTGGTGATGGTGGTGTGATGGTGGTGACGGTACTGGTGATTTTGGTGTTGTTGATGGTAGTAGTGATCATGGAGATGGAAATGAAGATGGTGGTGATAATGAGCAGTTTGGCATTGGTGACTATGATGATGATGACTATATTATGAAAATGATGATGGTGATAATTATGAGGATGGTTAGAGTAGTGATCATAGTGAGGATGGAGGTGACAGTTTATACTCACTGAACCATTATAATGCTTCAGGTTCTGTGCTGAGCTAAGTTCTTTATCTGTATTGTTTCCATTTCATCCTCCATTCTTATCATGTAAATTTGTTCATACCCATTCACAAATGAGCAAACTGAGGCTAAGAAAGGTCATTTAACAGAAATATTTGTAAATGGGACAAACACAAATTTAGATCAGAAAAGCAGTAAATAACTCATTCCTGAAGGGCCTATTAATGTCAAGTATCTAATCAGTCAACAATGTCAGACATCTTAGAAAAATAAATAGGAATTTTGCCTAATTTTTTCTTTAAGATTAAGTTCCCTGATATAGAGATATTGCCACTTATTGGCACGAGGAGAGTCACAATCCCCCTGAACTTCAGTTTTCATTTCTGTAAAACAGGAAAGAGCAAGAGGTTCTAAAGATAAATAACACATGGAGTGCATAAAGCATATTAATTGACATGCCCTGTTTCCTGAGACATCAGCAGTTTTATAACAGATACTGCAGGAGTGACAACAGTGGACAGGGCTAGAGTTAAAACTGACTCATTTGACAGATACCAATCACATTTAAATGTTTCCTGTCAAATGAAATACATACTGACACCCAGCACTCATGCATACATGTATTTATGCATTCAATCCTTCATTGACCAATTGCCTGTTATGTTCAGAGTTCACTGGAATTTATGCTGGAAGCAGATTCCCATTTGCTGACTAGTTCGCTATATGGATAGGGGTGTAGGCACTCCTTTAGTAGGTAGAAAAATTGTCTACAAAGTTCCAGTGTCTTCCCATGTTCATGTCCCTTGTCTAGTCTCCTCCTATAAAGGAATATATGTTCAATATGTTCACTTTGGGATTTTCCATCTGACTTGCATAGGAGAATGTCAGAATCAATTACATGATGATATATATGTATATATACATACATATTATATGACAATTATTGTATGATAGTTTCATCAATGGGAATAGGCAAAAACTTGACATGCATGTGTGCAGCTAAGTGTTTCCTCTGTGCCTCTGAGATGACTTTCCTCCGGGTCATAAACGCCAACCTGTCTGAGATTCATTATAAGCATGCATGGGGCAGAGGTCATATACTTGGCTCATCAGCTTGTGGCAGAAATCAACTTCACTAAACCCATGCAACCCTGAAGCTGGGTTTGTCTACATTGGATGCAATCCCATGAGAAGAGTAAGTACTTATTGTGTGACTCTAAGATTTCACAGCAATAGCTGACCAACACAGCCACAAATCACACTTACATAGCACAGAACATGACCAGTGATCCGAGAATGATACAAATGCCCTCTAGGGAATTCTGAGAGTCAGATAATCTTATTTGAGAGTTAAATATAAAATGCGTTTAGAATGTTTCATGGAACTGCAAGGATTGAAGATTTAATTCTGGAAGTTAAGAAAGGAGGAAAAACTATAAAGAAGTCTAAACACCATTCAAATACATGTCAACCCTAATTCAGTACCCTCTGCCCATTTCAATACCCTGTTTGACTATAGCCTCCATCCATTTTCTGGATGGGGCTTCTGCCCCTGAGCGTGTCCTCTTTACACTGAGCAATTTCTGGTGCTGTCCTGCTCTCTATGCCTTCTATGCTGATTTTACTTCTTGGGTCAGTCATTCAAATAGAAACCTTAGTTCACAGGGAAGGACTCTAAAAATATCTCACCATGCTGATGAATATGTAAGATCATCAGATGCTGTGGTTTGAATATGAAACACACTTCATAGGTTCATGTGTTTCAACACTTGGTCTCCAATTAGTAATGCTGTTTGGGAAGGTTGTGGATCCTTCAGGAAGTAGAGCCTTGCTGCAGGAGGCAAGTCACTGGTGGACAGTCTTGAGGTTTTATTGCCTGGCCCCACTTCCTATTCAATTTCTGCTTCATGAGTGTAGATGCAATGTAGCCAGCTGGCTCCCACTTCTGGTGCCATGTCTTCCTTCTCATGATGAACTATATCCCCTGAACTGTGAGCTAAAATAAATCTTTCCTTCCTTAAGTTGTTTTTTGTCAGATATTTGGTCACAGCAGTGAAAAAAGTAACTGACACACCAACTATAAAGTGGAGGGGGCAGACAGAGGAAATGCCTTGCAACACCAAGCAGCCCGCTTGGCAGTGTGTGTCATAAATGTCACAATCCCATTAGACTATAACTCTGTGAAAGTGAAAACTGCTGCTTGTTAGGTGCTGAGTGGATGGAGGTGAAAACCATGGGATTTCCTCTCACTCTTCCTATTCTAGAGACTTCCTTCCTCTCATTCCTCCACAAGACAATGAGAACCACCATGTTAGTACAACCGGACTCCACTCCTTAGTCACTGCAGATATGTTCAGAAAGACTCAAAATTCATGAGAAATCTTCTGAGATTTGGAATTTAGAAAACAGACATCAGGATTTAGGTACTGTGCTGGTTAGGTCTAACTGCCCACTTGGCATAGCCTAGAATCACTTGAGAAGAGAGTTTCAACTGAGGAATTGTTTAGGTCAGGTTGGCCTGTGGGCATGCCTGTGGGAGATCGTCTTGATTAATAATTGATGTATGAAGACTCACCCTGAATTTGAGTGGTGCCATTTCATGGGCTGGGCCCTGAACTGTGTCAGAGTGAAGAAAGCTAGCTGAGAATAAGCAGCCAGCAAGCAAGGATGTATTCGTCTGTCTTTGCTCTTGACTGTGGAGCTTGTATGACTAGCTGCTTGAGTGACGACAGCCTCGGTTAATCCCCAGTGATGGATTGTGACCTGGAACTGTAGGCCAAATAAATCCTTTTCTCCTCTATGTTACTTTTGGTCAGGGTGTTTTATCACAGCAATAGAAGTAAAACTAGAACATTATGCTTTTGATCTTAAATGTTCCCACCCTTGCCCCAAAGCTCTTATGTTGAAGGCTTAGTTCATCTCAGCTGTGCTCTAGGACAGGGTTTCTGGGAGGTGATTGAATCATGAAAGCTGTGACCCCATCAATGGCTCATCAATTTATTTATGGATTCATAACTTAATGCTGCTGGGAGGTGATGCAAACTTTAAGAGGGGTGGGCCTAGTCATAAGAATCATTGAACACATGCCCTTGGAGAGTATATATTGTCCCCAGTTCTCTCTGTCTCTCTGCCTCTGTCTCTGTCTCAGTCTCTCTCTCTCTCTCTCTCTCTCTCTCTCTCTCTCTCTCTCTTTCTCGCTCTCTGTCCTTCCTAGTCATCACAAGCTGAGCAGTTTTCTTTTCACTATGAGCTTTCACCATGTGTGCTGGAGAGCTTTAGTGTCAACTTGACACACCTGGGTTGAGGGAACCTCAATTGGGGAATTTCCTTTTGTGGCCATGTCCATGGGGCACCTTCTTGATTGTTGAGTGATGTGGGAGGGCCCAGCCCACTGTGGGCCTATGTTGCATAAGAAAGCAGGCTGAGCAGGGGCCAGGGGAGCAAGTCAGTAAACAGCATTCCTTCATGGCCTGTGTTCCAGCTCCTGCTTCCCCTGGGAGATGTAATCTGAATAAACCCTTTCCTCCCCAAGTTGGTAGTGGTCAGAGTGTTTTGTCACAGCAATGGAGAAACAAACTAGGACACCATGATATACTGCCCCACCAAAGGCCTCAAAGCAACTGGACCATAGGGTGATGAGACAAAAAATACTTTTTCCCCTTTAAGTTGTTTATCACAACTATTTTGTCACAGCAATGAAAAGCTGACACACACAGCACCCCAATTATGTAATGCTGCACAGCAGTGTCCCTAAAGCCAGCACTACATTTGAGTTTGCATAATTCTGTGTTTTGAAGCACAAGGGAGTTGCCCTGGTTTTGTAAGGTATTTGTCAATATCCTTCATCCTGACCCTCTGTCCCTGCAAATATGGAGTTCCCCAGGGTCTTACCATCACCCACAAACTGGAGCAGTGCCAGGTCAATCTGCCTCTTCCAGGGAGAGCCCTTCTGGAGAGCAATTCCATAGCCAGTGGTGGCAAAGATGTACCCACTCCCGATGGTCACCAGCTTGCAGCCTTCATCCCTTCCGGCCTTGTAATTCAAGACAGCTGCATCATAGATAAAAGCATCTAGCTTCCTGAAATGAGAAGACACAAGGGAGTCATGGGGTGGCCAGGTGCCATCTCAGGGCCCTGCTCCTCAGGGCCAGATCTAGCACCTAACACACTGGAGGTAGTGAGTCATGGCTGTTCCATGCCCTGGTCATAAAAGAACCTATTTTTAATGAGGAGATAAAAGCCAGAACGTTTCCTTTCCAACTTACAAGAGGCAGCTAAATAAAGACAGGAAGAATCCATATACCCAAGTGAGTAAACAGGCAGGTTTTCTGTTTGCTAAGTGTTTGTCCTTAACACCTCCCAGCAGTGGGGAAATGGTGGCCTGTTTAAAAAGGTTTGCCTCAGAACACTGTGAACTGCTAAGAGACAGGGGAACAAGGTGGTAGCATGTAAGCAGGAGGTAGGAATTAATCAGGAATGATGCCTTTTCCTTTAAAAGGCTTATATAAATACATTTGCTATTTATGTTAAAAATAATTACACAGTAATATTTTAAAACTAAACATAATATAGAAAAATATTAAAAAGTACAATTAAAATTATATATGTCATAAAAGAAATGTGTAATAAAATACTTTAACACATAAATCTGTGACTAAGAGGTGACCACCATTAGCATGTTGGGAGGCAGTCTTCTAAGGTCTGTATGTATACTCACACACACACACATATATACAACAAGGATTAGGAACACTTTTAAATGTAAAGACAAAATAAATAGTCTAGGTTTTATGAGCTATATGAACTTAGGTACAGCTGTGTCTTTGCTGTGTAACTGCCCTCCACCCCCGCCACTGTTTCCCAATTGCCAACCATCATGACATCAGGTCAATGTCAAATCTGAGCCAAATCACTACCTAAAACCCATTAGTGAGCACACATATCATTTCCAAGTTTTAAAGTAATTTAACAAGGCTGAAACCATCATCCTGGAACACAGGAATGGATAGTTCCATTTAAAAAATTTATTTATTTATTTATTTATTTATTTATTTATTTATGTCTTTTTTGAGACAGGGTTTCCCTGTAGCCCCAGCTGGCCTGGAACTTCACTATGTAGACCAAGCTGGCCTTGATCTCATAGAGATCCACCTGCCTCTTCTAGGATTAAAGCTGTGTGCCACCATGCCCACTCGACTTCGTGTCACATTTTCAACTTTATTTCCTTTCTTTCTCTAACAAGGAGACATAAAACAATAAAGCAAAGAAAAATAAAAGTGGCAGGAGAGGCTGTAAGATGCTGCCTTCTTTCAGAGGTGCACAGAACAGACCCTGTGGGAACACAGCAATTTGCAAGCTTTACGGCCGTGCTCATCATTTCTATTTTCCCCTGTTTTGGTTTTGATTTTTGTGATAGTTGCAGGTGGGGCAAAACTACAGGGCTGAAAACTCATTTCAAGACTCATAAATAACTCATAGAAAGACTCGAACTTTTATCTCAAATACTCAGCATTAAGGTCGGACAGTGACTCAAGGGGGTCAGAGTATCCAGGCAGCAGCAGCAGTGCTGGAATAGGCAGAGCTGGATCATGAAGAGAAACAGCCTTTTAGAAAAGCCAGAAATACTGAACCTGTGGGAATACAGGATGAAGAGCGAGAAAAGATGCAAAGTCCTCCGAACTCATAGCAGCAGTGGCTACAAGACTGGACCTGTCGGCATTCTGTCATGGATGGAGGGCGGGGGGTTAGTCTCCACTCCTGGGGAGCTTTGGGTAGTTATTGCTTGCTGGGAGTAGGGGGACTCACGTTCCTCAGTGGTAGGGACGCTGGTAAATTGTCCTTGCTTAAGGAAATAACCCCCAACTCACACTCATGCAAATAACCCTATTTAAATGCAGTGGGTCATAAAAATGACATGAAAGTGGGGGGAGCTTGTTAAGATAAGGAAGGGATCAGTGGAAGGGGAAAGGGATAAGAAAAGATAATGGGAAATGTATGCCCAAAGTACATTTTATGGATGTATGAAATTATGAAAGAATAAACTAAACATAAAAGAAGAAAGAAAAGGTTCAAAGTCATTCAGAGTATAGGACCAGAACACTGGGGCTATAAATAGAGAAAAAGATTCAAGTTCCAGGCTGGGCTTGGATGCAGGCATGACCTCAGGAAAGCCACTTTTTCTTTTTGGATTGTGGGCTCCTAAGCTATGAGGGAAGGGAGTCATGATGTTCTGAGATACTGGGGCATCCCTGAATCTGTAATCCAAGAGTCCCCTTCTGTGACTATCAGTGGAGAAACCAACACTGGATGACATACGGATGGCATTTCTTTTCTTTGATAAAGCTGAGGCACTTGCAACATCAATACCTCACATGCCGTAGTTGCCATGGAGATGCTGAAAACCCCAGTTTCATGAAGATTTTCTAAGTCTCGGTAAACTCCCTCAACTCCTCAAGAAATAGTCATAAATACACATCCATAGACTTCCATGTACAGAGTAATCCAGCCTTAAGCCTACCCATTGATGTCCCTGGCTAACTTATCAACTTTTGCCCTACCAATGCACTGTTGGGATGGAAATCTAAAGACAAGCCTGGCAACCATACAAGAGTTGTCCAACAGGAGCTTAAATTGGTATTTTTAGGGACAGGCATAGAATTCTGCAAATTGGTACCATATTTTATGACAAATGTTCTGCTGATTAACAGCCAGTTGAGCAAAAAGTAAAAAAAGACAAGACAACTCATTGCAGAAGACACGGTTGGTTCTGACCAAAGCATTTACATTTTTGGTGATTGGGGTAGGCTAGGGGACATGTCTTCAGGACTGCAGCCACAGAGCCACAGATAGGGACTATTCTTCCTGCCCTGACTCTCTGAGGTCCGTTACTACAAAAGCAATGTTAGCATGCAAAACTGTAGGGCAGTGTGAAGTAGATTGATCTTTTACCAATGATTCCAGAGCACTAGGGTCTAGAAACTGTTGAATACAGATACCTACATGTTAAAAACAACATCTTCAGGCTGGGGAGATGGCTCAGTGTATAACAGCACTTGTTGTGAAAGCATGAGGACCTAAGTTCGAATCCCCAACACCCACACAAAACTTAGGCATGGCTACATGTGTCTATAACACCAGCACTATGGAGGGCAGAGACAAGAGGATCACTGGGACTTGCTGACTGCCACCCAGATCCAGGCTCAATAGGAAACCCTATCTTAAGGGAATACTGTGAAGAGTGAAAGAACAGGACCCAATGACCTCTTCTGGCCTCTATTCATTTACACATGGGATGTGCACATTGCATACACACAACACACACATGCACACACATCACACATGCATATACCACACACATTCCCTCTGTCACACGCAAACAAACAAAAAACAAATCCAGAGCCGTTGCTTGTATGATGCTTTATAAAACAGCACATAGCACTTCACATCCATCACCCATTATGTCACAATTGCCCGGGAGGGAGATATCATCATTATTATTATTTTCCTATTTTGTTTATGAGCAGAAAGCGTCTCAGAAGCTAAGCCAGCCTTGGGCTTGACAGTGATGTGCCTACATTCTGCATTACAGCACCCTCTAAGAGCACTGTCCATGGGTTTATCCTGCTTCTGCAGAGACTCATGTGGGTAGAAGTTGTGAGCCCCTGAAATAAGTTAGAGCAGCCAAGAAACTGAACTTAGCTTCATTGAATTTCACTGAGTGAAATTCTAATAAAAAGTGATCATACGTGTCTGGGAGCTGCAGGAACGGACAGTATAACACCAGGGACCCCGTGGCAGCCAAGGGGAAGACTGAGGTAGCTGGGCTCTGCGTTCCTCTTTGCTTTGACTCCAGCAGATTTACTTTTGATCTGTTTCCAATCAAAAGCATTGCTTCTGTTGTTAAAAAGAATAAAAAAGAAAGACACGAAAAACTGCTGATGCACTCGAAAGCAAGCTTTGTAAGCCAGGGACTTTGGACACAGCACCTGTATGTTTTTTTTTCTGCAAAGTGGAGCTGACAGTATCTGCCCTCAGAGAGCTGTTGGGAACAAAGCCATGTTATGTAAGGTAAGTGTGTGTGCAATAGCCAGCATGTAACAAATGCTTAAAGCCCATAAAAGCATTCAGTTGAATTCAGAGCTTATGGCCAAGGGCCTCACAAATTTTATACATCCTCTGTAATAAGCCCAATTCCAAATGCTTTACCTGGGTTCCCTCCTGTTATTTATTTCTGTTATTATTTATCTATAAGAAGATACGTTTCTGGGAGGCTAGGGTGCCCTGGGGCTCTAGGTGTGCAAGAATGACTATACTGTCCTGTTTGTTGCGTGCTTTCCTGGTTGTGTGATAGGGAAACTGAGGTAGTGAGTGTGAACATAACAGAACACTATCACTTAGTTCTCAGTGTCCAAAGCTGAATTTAGATTTAGGTGGATGTCAAAGGTCACAGATGTCTCCGAAGACTTGAAGAGTAACTGAGGGTACCCCTGTATACTCCTTAGGAAATTCAGGGTACAGGTTAGCACTAGGTCAAACTGCATATGACACAAGAGACAGGGGTGAGCTGGAGCAGTACGAGTTTAAAGAGATCTGGTGGGCTGCTCAGCCTGTCTGCCCCCAGCAAACACCTAGCATGCAGAGTTTAGATTTACCAGCATATAACATTCTTCTCGCATCTGACACATTGTAACCCAGAGGGTAAGCAGGTGCTGATGGGCACAGATTCTTGTTGGAGACAAGATGAGAAAGGAAGAGGTCACCTAAAGAGGAGCCTGCTTTGGACAAGCATTTGAGGCATTTGAGCTGTGACTGCCGGAGACAGAGTGATGTATTAGGCTACAGCTCCGTAATTGGCAGTGCTGAGCTCAGAAAAGCACAGACCAAAGGTCAGCCCTGGAGGGACTCCATCCTTCTGAACTAAGCAGTCAGGTGAGGGCCCTGGCCTCAGAGGTGAGGGAACCCAGTTACTTGCGTTCCCTGATTCTTGAAGAGGAAATCATTCTCTCACCTTCCCAGCTAAGTGGTTTTCCCACTGGACAGGGGATGGGGACAGAGTCCTGCCTGACCCCTGCCTAGGGTG